AGTTCTCCGCGGCGGCCGCGCGCGCTTCCTCGGGCGCGTGGTCGCTCGCGCCGCGCGCGGCCGCGCGCTCGCTGGACGAGCTGCTGGGCGAGCCCCGCGCGTCGCCGCGCCGCTCGAAGGGCGAGGAGGACGCGCAGCAGGAGCAGGGCATGGTGGCGTTCGACCTCAAGGACAAGATGGGCCTCTTCCTCAGCGTGTGCTCCGTGCTCGTCTCGATTCATATGCTGACGCCGCGCGCTATGTGACGCTAAGCACCCGGCGCCCCGGGGGAACGGGGGCGGCGCGCTTTGCGCTTTGCAAGGCCCCCCTCCTCCCCGCTCCCGCGCGCGATTAATAGCCGTTTTCAGCAGTGGTTTTCAACATTTTAGGGCTGCCTCTCACCGTCTGGTCGCCCCCGGTTGGCGCACGGCTGGCTGTCTGTTTTCCATGCCGCTTGCTTTGTATAGAGAGAGGGCTAAGGCGGGTGCCTGTTTTCGTATTTAAATTAACACACTAGAGTAGCTACTTCGGCGTTTGCCGGTCGTGGTGGGGTGCTCTTTGACTCAATTCGTCCCGCGCTTGCTGTGCGAGGTGTTGGCCTTGCCTATCTATGTTGCGCTTTGCTCATTGCCGAAAGATTTGGGAAAAGAATTTGCGGCACGTGGAAAGTGTTTCGACGTGTAACCTATCTACCCTAGTACGTAGTGGCATTCTGCTAGGGACGAAATGCAGGGGCGAGATAGAGAGGAGCTGTGGATGCAGGAGAAACCCTGCGAAAATATCTTACGGGGTCTGTGATTTTCGCCCTCTTATGAGCACCTCCGCGGAAAGCCCGCGGAAAGAGGGATCGGGGACAGCGTTAAAAAGAAACCGCACCAAAAACATTTAGAATACACACCCGCCCCCATCATCGCCCCGACGTGTCACGACGCTTCCACACGGCATCCGCGCGCACTGAGCATTTTTTTTGAGATACTGTAATGCCATTCTCCATCCACCGCCCTGCGCAGTATCCCCCGGCATTGTACGCCCCAGGGAATGGGCCGCGAGGAGGTACAGTACAGGTACTGTAAGCCCATTGCCCCCCGTCGCGCGGCGTAGACGACCAGGGTGCATCCGCGGCGGCTTGTCCCCACGCCCAAGCGCATGCACTGTGCCATGGGGCGGGCTCTACCCAAGGGTACGCTCTTGACATCGCGCCCAGGCGCATGCACTGTGCAATGGGGCAGGCGCTACGCTCTTGGCATTGTCAACAGCCTTCCGCCTGCCCCACCGCCCGCCCCACCGCCCGCCCCATGTAGCCCAGCACAGCAAGAAAGAAGCGGCCTCGTAAAGCGGCCTCGTCGCCGCGTCCTTGCTCTTCTACGCCACACGCGACCGAGAGCACGCAACCCAAGCGCACGCCTTGCACACCGCCTTCGCGGCCTCGTGCAGACCGGCGCCTCGCGACGGGTGCCATCGCCGGCGCTGCACCGCCCGCGCGTTGTCGACCCACGCGCACGCCGTAGCCGCCTCGGGCGCACCCTCGACGGGCTGTGGCAAGCGAAAAGTGTACAAATCCAGCAATGATTTAGATGTCCCTTTCCCAGATGGCCTCAATTTTGAGACGCGCATATCGCATTATGACGTGTGCTCTTGCGACACGCCTTTGCCCGGTATCAGAGCAGAGGCGACTTGAAACGCACACAGCCTCTCCTCCCTCCAGTCAGGGATGGATGGAGCGGGGAAGAAAAAGCACTTCTCTGGGAGCAATGCCGAGAGTAGGCAGGGGGAATGGCCGCATGTCCCACCTCCGCCGCATGTCCCACCTCCACCGGAGACGAGACACGCCGACGTTTCTGTTCAGCTCACAGTGCACGCATGCTTGTCAGGTTAAGCTGTCTTCCAGCGCTTTACATCCATACAGAGGGCCCGATGGCGACACGCCTGGTGCTGTATATGTTATTGCAGGCAATCTGTGTCTAGTCGGCATCGTGCATGGTAAAATTACGGTAAGTCTATTCGCAACTCAAGTAAAAAAAAAACACACACACACACATTCTAGAGCGTATTTTCCTCCTTCCCCTCCCATCCATTGCGTCTCCCTTCCCCTCCATCCCGCCTCCCTCCTCCATCCCCCCCGCTCCCCCCCAAGTCAGTCGTGGGTGTGCAGCGTGACGTTAACAAGTGCGAATGAGGCTGACAAAAAGTTAATCTTCATCCGAACTCTCGTCCGTGTAATCCGACGAGTCGGAATCATCGCTGTCCGAGTTACTATCGTCATCCTCCGAGGAACTGCAGCTAGCGTGGTCATCATTATTGTCGTCATCATCGTCCTCCGGCCGTCTCCTTCCGTTGCGGTACGTGTCGGTGTAACTCTTGCCACCGACCGACTTGGTGCCAACGCTCTTGGTGGCTGTGGAGGGGCTGACGGCGGCGGGTGGTCTCGGCGGAGCGACGCGACCACCCCTGATGACAAGGCGTCCCCTCGAGCCAATGGGGGGTGGGGTGGACTTTCCGGCAGTGCCCGGAGTAGGGGCTAGTGCGGCATGGCCGGTGTACATGGCTGCGGCGTCGTCCTCGGGGGTGATGGGCGAGCCGGAGTCGGGGCGCCAGCTTTCCGGGCTGCTGTCATGATGCGGCTCGGCGGGGTACTCGGGCGGGGGTCTTGTGAGGTGGGAGTCAGTGGGGCGGATGGAATAGAACAAATCCGAGGCCTTTTCGAGCCAGATCTTGCCGTCGACGAGGACGAGGAGGTAGTCGTGGACGGAGGAGTCGCCGTGGCGGCGGCGGGTGCCGGAGAAGTGGACCGAGGAGGCGCGGTCGGCCGTGGGGAGCTGGACGAGGCAGGTGTCCTTGTGCGGGGTGAGGACGGCCGGTTGCGAGAGCGTGGCCTTTTGGGGGATGAGGGAGAAGGTGAGGGCCAGCATGTCGCGCGACGCGTGGTTGGTCTTGAGCGACTTGCCGATTTTGAAGGGGTAGCGGACGCCGAGTTTTGGGGCGTTGTTTCCGCGCATGATTGGCAAGTTAGTGGAGGGGGGGATGGTGCGGAGGGGGGTGAGGGGCGGTGCGGGCGGCGG